TTGCCTTACGGCCTCGGCGACTGATTGATTTCATCTGCCTAAGATCAATTCACAACGTGGGTAGGTTAGACTGGAAATCAAAGTAGTTACTTCGGTAACCAGACGTTGGAGGCGAGTTGGGAACGACGAGCCTGATATCGAATCTAACCAGATTCCCATCGGAATCACCAAAAGGTTAGAACGTCACATTTGGGTGCCGCGACCAATACCAAGCCAGTTGGTCGTCACAGGACGGGATAGCACGACTGACGCAAACAGGCGGACGTCACGTTTGGAGCGGCGACACTCAGGGGGGCGTCACAGATTGATGCATCTAACATTTCTAATCATTTACAACAATATGCCTTTCCACATTCGCAATTTGCAAAAATTCTATTAATAATGCATCTATATTTTGTATCTTTGACTTTTTAAAATTGCAAGGACATGTAGATTCTCATATGAACCGTGTTTTCTGTGTTTACATGGAAAATTGGAAATTATCATGTACAAGAGGTTGTAGTTTGCTTTTAAATCTAAATAAATCGTTCGATCGCCAGTATTTTTACGATCGCCTGATGTGATGCATTGATACGCATCGAAAAACTATTGCAACTGTATACCGATTGTCATGTTTAAGTTTTATTGAGCCCTCTTTTAAATTAAATGTTACAAACATTGTAATTGTACTTTATTCTTTTTCTTTCTACCTATATATATATATAAAATATTAGGCAGCATATGATTTACATACAAAGAATAATCACACATAGAATTAATCAGAAGTATTAATGCGATTATTGGCGACATCCATCGCTAGAAAACATAATATATGCATTAAAATCCTGTTCATCCATAGTGCGAGTTTTGATCCTTGACGAAAAACTTGTTGTCTGTAGTTTTTCGGTTTATTTGATGTTAAAATGCTAGTACTTACGGGGTGTCTTCTATCCATCATCAGGCATGTGTTTTTTGCCTTATAAAATCAAAAACTTGAGACGATATACCTGTATGTCGACCGAAAGATGTTTTTTGAATATCTGCTATTATTGACGGTTGTGTAAGATTTCGGAACGTGCAAAGACGCAACGCTAAGTTTTTCAAATTTTTTTAAGTGAGAATTTTATTTAAATATTTCTTGTGATGTGTTAAATCCACGTATTCTAATTTTACAAGTGTATTCAGTTTTTATGTCATGAACTAAGTATATAGTTCAATAATATAGTATAATGTCTAGTAGTAGTTTTTTTTATAGGAATTTTTTATGTACTGCGGATCGATAGTTAAAAATAAACATAAAACATTAGGCAGCATATGATTTACATACAAAGAATAATCACACATAGAATTAATCAGAAGTATTAATGCGATTATTGGCGACATCCATCGCTAGAAAACATAATATATGCATTAAAATCCTGTTCATCCAGAGTGAGAGTTTTGATCCTTGACGAAAAACTTGTTGTCTGTAGTTTTCAGTTTATTTGATGTTAAAATGCTAGTACTTACGGATAGTCTTCTATCCATCATCAGGCATGTGTTTTTTTTTTCCTTATAAAATCAAAAACTTGAGACGATATACCTGTATGTCGACCGAAAGATGTTTTTTGAATATCTGCTATTATTGACGGTTGTGTAAGATCTCGGAACGTGACATTATTATACTACTCAAAACGTTCTTTTATGTATCCCCATTTTTTTTTTTTTTTAAAAAGATGAGCTTTCAGCATTCGAACACGCGTTCTTTACATATTGGCCTTAATACTCATACATACCTACATACATATATATATATATATATATATATATATATATATATATATATATATATATATATATAGATATAGATATATATATATATTATTAATACCAATATCAAAGGACTCGTGTTCGAAAAGCAAATATCTTTATAAATTCTCTGGAATGCGTAGTAAGCACCCAAACACACACACACACACACACATATATATATATATATATATATATATATATATATATATATATATATATATATATATATATATATATATACAGTAAAATAGCAAATATGAATAAAAATATATCTTCTAAGAAAAAATCTACATATTAATGTTATTATTATTTAAAAACATTTTTTTTTATTGCGACACGGAAATTTTTGTTTCGAAACATAAAATTTAGTTCCTTTTTCAAGCGATATCCAATAACTTCAGAAAAAAAATAATTTACTTTTGAACACGAAGTCGTATTATATTGAAGAGTTTAAGTAGGAAAGAATAAGATTTTTGATTTTTATGTGTGTTGTCTTATTTGACTAATCAAAAGACAGATCTAAGCTAAATCAGAGAAGATACAAAATGTAGGTTAGCAGTTATGTGTGGGTATGTAATTCATGCTCGTCTAGATAATCCATCTTGTATTAGACATGTCACCATTGCTTCCGATTAAGAATATATACATAAGATACAATGAAATAATACAGAGAGGTATATGTATCCAAATTGTGTTAATTTTGGCATTTTAATTTTATAAAATATGTTTATATACTTTATGACTTTCTTAAAGGGGTCTCTATTATGATTAAATCATTTTTATATATTTAATTATTTCAATCTAAAATACGTCACTTAAAGGCTGTCGTATGGCTCTATGATTAAATCGTTAAATGTAGAGTGAGTCTTCGTGTCAAACATGTTGTAGTGTGGCCTATATAATTCTTTACAAATTTTGATGTAACAAAATTTCAATTAAGGAATTGTATTCCTGACCAATCAAAATTCGGATTGTTGTGCTCATCTTTGTTGTCATATTAACGAAGCTTCGACCGTTTTACGCCCCTGAAATTTCGGAACGAACCCTTTAGAAATTGTATAAAATCGAAATCAAAGCACCTTTTCTGTCTTATTTAATGAAATGTGCATGAAAGAAGGATTGCTGCCTAAACACACACACACACACACAGACAAACGTACATATAAATTTTAGATTAAAATAAAATTATTTTCATTTTTCATTCAAAATACTCTATTTTAGGAATACGTTTTCACAACATCGCCCACGTGACACCGACGTGATCATATTGAAACGGAACATTGATCTTGAAAAAAATTTTCAGTTATCTGTTTTGATTAGTTTTACTCTTATGTCCATCGTCTTTTCATGTTGAATTGAATATAGTCTAATGTTAATTATGTTTTATGAATATGCCCTGAAGATGGTCTACTAGACCGAAACGTCCGACGTTGACATTATATTAATATTAAAACAGCATAATTGCATATTAGGATTTTTGTTTGTTTTTCTTTATATTTTTCTTCATATACATATGTCTAAATGGTTCAAATAACAATGTTTCATAGAGATAGATAGATTACGCAAGAAGAGAGAGTTGAGTTAGAAGGTTGATAACTGACGCTGAAGTATTAGGCATGGCTCGTGGGCCTAGAACAATCTACCCGAGTGGATGAAATAGAAGTTTCGGTCCGAAATTTCAGGAGAGTAGAACAGTCGAAACGTCGTTAATATGACAACAACGATTAGGACAACAGTCCGAGCAATGTAAATAGTGTGAATAATACCAATCCCTCATCTAAGAAATATAGACAAATAGCGAATGTTTTAAGGGAAATATACGTAGAAGTAGGTTAATTTCATTATTATTCATTGTATTATTATTATTATTATTATTATTATTGAATCTATAAACTTTTCAGGAAGTCAAATCCCCTGTGGCCCAATGTGAGCTATTAAATTAGTTTTGAAAAATGCACGCAATATTCAATTGTTATATGCTTCCAAATCCAAATATATTGTTCTCAGGATTTTCACACACACACACACACACACACACACACACACACACACACACACACACACATACACACATATATATATATATATATATATATAAGCTGGAAAACTTTTTCTTTATAGGTTTTACGCTTTGTCACAGCTATATATATATATATATATATATATATATATATATATATATATATATATATATATATATATATGAATGAATCTCTATAGTATTCACAGTGCTAATATTTAAAGTAGTAATATATTTTATTTATTTTTAAACAAATACAAATATATAATATTAAATGATCTGGTCACACACATACACATACAGACAAAAACTCCCTCATTCATTCACGCACAAACACGCACGCACATATGTGTGTGCGCGTGATTGGGTATAAACATGGTCCAAATATATTTAAAAACATAAACTAGAAAGAGGTGAATTGTAATAAAATTAAATAAATAATAATTTCCTTTTCCCTCAATTTTATTATAAATCACGCGCAAGAATCAGTTTTATTAAATGATTCCCACGGAGTAATATTTAATTGAAAAATATCGGAACTTAGAGACCGGATGATTCATAAAAACTGATGTTGCTATTACATATTTCTCTGTAAAATGACTCAATGTCGATGCATTCCTCTTTACCGATACTGCATCAGCTATATTGTTAAATGTGTGTGCAGTATTTGGAATATTTATATGAGAAAAGAAATAAAATATACATGGAAGTCTACGGAATACAAAGATGCCGGGAAGTTTTTGGCCGGACCAAATTCAGAATCAAAATATTTCTGGTATTTCGTTTGTTGGTCAGACATAGAAAATTCTCTCTCTCTCTCCCTCTCTCTCTCCCTCTCCCTCTCTCTCTCTCTCTCTTTCCATATATATATATATATATATATATAAACATTTCATACATTGTACAAAAAAATTGCAATACTTTCTTTCACGAACTTGCTCGCAGTTTCGATAACAGATGTCACTCAACGAAAGAATAATAGCTATTGTCATCATTTTTTGTCAAGTATACGACAAACACAAGATCTCCATACGTCAATGAACAATATGTATGACATTTATGAAGAAAATTCTAATAATATTATAAAACAAAGTTTTTCTTGATATAATCTCTTTCATACATATATATATATTCGTATATATATATATATATATATATATATATATATATATATATATATATATATACGAATCGATAGATAGGATCAGACTGAGATAAATAGGTAAGAACAGAATGAAATAGATAGATAGATAAATAGATAGATAGATAGATAGATAAATAGATAGATAGATAGATAGGAGTACTCTGATATATATATATATATATATATATATATATATATATATATATAGATAGATAGATAGATAGATAGATAGATAATAACAACAGACTGAAATAGATAGAATAGACTGATATATATATATATATATATATATATATATATATATATATAAAGAGAGAGAGAGAGAGAGAGGCAGAGAGACAAACAGAGACAGACAAAGACACAGACAGACAGACAGACAGACATAGAGACAGAGACAGATAACATAATTGATTTAATCGGTTCCTGACACGGTATCTAAGGTGATGTCTCAAATATTTACTCCTGTCTTCATAGGATGTCGATTAAATTCGATAAAATCAACCTAGTAGCGGATCTGGATAATGACATCCATTGCTAAACGCCTCCAAAACGTAACTGTTCTCCATTAATCATATTAAGCAAATTTTCTGACCTAACGCCAACATGGCGGTTGCTAACCATCCGATTTCTTGGGATAAAATATTTTTAAAATGTCTCTCTCTGGAGAGAGTATGTTGATCAACGGAGGCGTGGAACAATGAAATGAACAGCGATATGAAAACTACATAGCAAGTTATAATGGATATATATTTAAATACTATAACAAATTCCAAGACCAAGTCTTTAACCACTTGGTTATTGTCCTGATGAAGGTCGGAGGAAACAAAGATCGAAACGTTGACATAAAACCAACAAACAACAAATGCAAATAGTATGAATAATGATAACTCCTCATCTCAGGAATTCAAACAGCGGCAATGTAATGTCGAACTCCCTATCGTAGTGAATGCTGGAAAATTTTTTCATAGGTGAAAATCACAGAGACAACAGACTTGCTTGTACAAAGGAATTCTTAGAATAATATGAATGGAACATGTAAACAAGGAGGTATTTTTAGCAAAGGAATACAAAAAACGGAAAGAAAAAACCTGAAGTACAAAGACACATCACGACGAGAGAAGGGTTAGAGAAATTAACACTCACAGGAAATAATGAAACATGGACAGAGAGAAACAACGAGAAGCGACCTAATAAGCTTATGTAAATTGATGTCAGAACAGGAAGGGGTTAATAGTAAATTTACAAACTTAGCTAAGAGCTGCACATTTCTATTTAAGTAGTTCACCCCAAACAAGGCGATAATACCACTAAGACGCAAGTTGTTACTAAGGATGTAAAGAAAACTTTTTTGACGAGAAAGGACGATAAACGAACAGGGTTCAGCTAGACAGCAGATGGCGATTGGCGTTGCATTTAAACTGTTGAAGATTGTAGATGACAGAAGAGAAGTAATAAACTGTAAGAAAGTTCCACAGTCAAGAAGTGCAAGAAAAAGAAACTTTTACAATGGAACATACGGTCAGATCTCGGTAGTTCATCAGTAAAACGCTGGGACCTTAGTTGGCTGTAAGTAGTGCTGGTGGTACGGTTAAATTCGTGCAGTCGCGACACGAAGGAAAAAATCTCATCAGAAAAATTGCCATGGAAACATGTGTAGGAAACACAATGGAAGACACGCCAAAGCAAAGGGAAGTTGTGGATGCCGATGATTGCCAACATCATGAATGGAGACGGCGCATAGAATGTGAAGAAGTAGAAGAAGAAGAGGATAAAAATGAAGAGGATAAAGAAGAAAAGAGGAGGAAAAGAGAAGAAAAGGTAAAGAAGATCAAAAACAACGACAATAACAACAAAAGGCTAAAAAGAGAACTGTCGTGGTGGACGCTGTTAAATATTATACCAATTATATATATATATATATATATATATATATATATATATATATATATATATATATATAGATAGATAGATAGATAGAATATATATAGATATGAAAATTTCTCAGAGTTAATCTGTAGAAAAGACAATATTTATAAATATAAATGACAATAGGAAAACTGTAGTACACTACAATATCGTAAAATCAAAAGAAAATGGATGAATCCGCCAACGCAGCTATAATGACAATATTCTCCACACGTGACAATAACTGACGTTATTTTCAGTTAACAATATGAAAATAGCGTTCGCTACATTCCTCCAGTTGCTAAGGACATTCTGTTTTTTTGTTATTATTAGTTACGTTATTTAACTAAATTCATTTCGTTTTTTGCTTTGAGAAAGTCCACATTGGACGAAACGCATCAGCAATAACTACAGTTTTCCTATTTTCATTTATATATATATATATATATATGTGTGTGTGTCCATATTCAATATTGCTATGTTTTACCGAATAATCAGTATCACATTTTTAATTTTACCTATTGGCCCCTTTAAGAAGGTTTTCTGAGCATTTTTTTTAATATTTTTAAAATAAATCCGTTTCTGGTAAATTTGTGTCTGCGTCAAAAAAACAGAAAATCATACATGGATACACCAATAATACATTTGTCGCTGAAATGGTTCCCTAGTATCGTTGAATGATATGTCTAAGCATCAGTTTAATTGACACGTACTCATAAACCTCAACCCTCTCTTTATTTTTATATTTTAGCGTTTATTAAATGTCCCTAATAAATCATTTTTATCATGCTATCTGCCATCACATGCAGAGGTACCATCTTAGTACCGTAATATGAAATTTTTATTATTATAATAATTATATATATATATATATGTGTGTGCGTGTGTTTGTATTTGGGTAGTAATTCTATATTTATATATCTTCCCTTTCTATCATGAGTCTATATATATATATATATATATATATATATATATATATATATATATATATACATAAGAGAATTGAAAAAAATGTATATATATGAACGTGTCTGCGTGTGTGCACGTGTGTGCATATATGCCTGTGTGTCTGTGTGTGTGTGTGAACAGAGCAGAGGAAGAAGCAACATGCTAAAAAGTGAATAGACATTTTCCGACACAATACGAACTCGATCAGCTAATATCGTTTTTTGAACGAACCGCCATTATGGCAACACCGCCGGAACAAATGTAAATTAAAGCAAGCGTCATGTAAACGGAGGGATTCGAGAGAATTCCTTCTAAGTTTCATTTCCTGACCTTTCTTTTTATTCCTCTTTGAGAGCTATTTCGTGTTGCTTAATGATTTCTAGGGTTTCTTCGAGTGAATTGTTAAAGTTATTCTCTTCACAGAATATATTACATTTGAATGGTGAGGAAAACAAATAAAGTTCTTCAAATATCTATAAAACAAACAGAATGCAAAAAAGTGTTGCCTTCCAAAGTTAGCTACTTATTTCACAAATGCGTGCAGCAATTTCAAATTAGATCAGAACCGTGACATCGACTGAAAACTTTACTGCCGTAACTATATATATATATATATATATATATATATATATATATATATATATATATATATATATACGTGTGTTTGTATATACTAACGAATTATATACACTAACGTGCCAAGATTTATGTGTTTAATATCTATAGTGCTCCACACATGCCTGTAAAATTAGAACGATGTTGTATCGATTTAAAAGTAGATCTCTGGTGACATTTGAGTTAATGCTGACGCGAAAGATATTCTAGGCTATGCGATATTTGCAGGTGGATGATCTTGTGTTGAGATATAGGTTTCAACCGATATGAGCGTTGTATAGGATGAACATTAATAAAAAAGAAAAGCATTTCATGATACTGCCTGTAAAATTGTTCTCGACCAAATGTAAGACACACGGACCGTACCTGTTTCAGAGACAATGGCGTGAATATTATTTTTGCAGAAAAAAGCCTATATCTATAAAGAAAAATAAGAAAATTATTTTCAAAGAAAAAAATGGCTATGTACCCTGAATTCAAAATGTGGAATTAATAATTAAATAAAAATGAAATTCTTCGAGTAAATGCTTTATTCAGATCATCAATGATTTACACGAAAACTGCAGCAGTTTGCTACTGCAAGACTTAAGTTTTATATAATGTATGTATGTTTTATATAATGTGTGTTTTATATAGCATGTGCTTTATATAATGTATGTTTTATATAATCTCGTGATTGTATATACCAAGAATATTATCCATTCTAAATTATTGAAATACTATTAACAAGTTTATAATTCTCTGAAAACCTTAATAGGACGCTACATCCATATTTGATTTTTCATGATATACATTATCATGCAGTGATGAGCTTTGAAACAGCGAAACAGTCTGTCTGTGGATGATAATATATACATACTTCGGAAAAAAATTTCAGTTGACCTCTCCGGGAAAAAAAGTAAATTTCTAAGCAGTTACCATCACTGCTGTGATGCAATACTCTTCCTTAAGACAAATCGAGTTCTCCAGTCACTGGCGTGTTTATCTAAAAATAAATACGTCTAAAATCATCATCATCTCTGCGGTGTTCCAATGGCTTAGGGGTAGATTCTCCAAATGGTACCAAATCAGTCGGATTTCGATCCGAGTTTGAAACAATCGGATGTCTAGCTACACTGATAAGCTGTTGGACAGCTAAACAGTTTTTCTGTGGATGACAATTATATATATATATATATATATATATATATATATATATATATATATGGGGAGAGAGAGAGACAAGTTTTCTCGAGCACACAGACCTGTCTACGAAATAAACACTGTTTGAAATAAACGGAGTGAATACTCAAATACGGGTATCCACTAACAATCACCTTTGTTCGCATATATATATATATATATATATATATATATATATCGAATGTAACAGCAAAATTTGATTAAGATTTGAACGGTTATATCATAGAAATGCTTAAATATATCTACATCTTTAAATATATCTTCTACGAGGAATTTATAACACTACTGAACTCAAGTTGAACAATATGAATGCATTTAGCTCTAAGTTGAAATGATCATCCATCTTGCATTTGTGACCTCCTGATTTAATTTTCCGCTCTGCTCTTGATGGTTCTTGAATGAAATTTTAAAATGGAAGCCAGAGTATGAATGTCGGTATCATTACCGAAGTATTAAATGATCTTTTACCTCTCATCATTGCTCAAATGAGAAGACATAGTGTGATTGATACAAAACGATTTTAACCTGTTCACTTTCTCGCTGAATAAATCGAAGGTTTTTTTTTTTCAGCGCTTCTTACGAAAAATGGTGTCAAGATTGCTAAGTGTTTTATATGAAAACCTGGAAAAAAAGAAACTTAAATAGTTTTGAGTGTTTTTAAATATTAAACATTCTGTGTGATGGAAAATTATCCCATGCTATTAAACGAGTTGGAAAATTGTGCTGTTACACCGGATATATATATATATATATATATATATATATATGTATATATGTGTGTGTGTGTGTGTGTGCATGTGTGTGCGTTTGTGTGTGCGTGTGTGTATGTGTGAGTGTGTAAATATTCTCAGACACAGTGTATCCGTAGAAGAGACAAAATGAATAAAAGAGACAGAAGGAGAAACTATAATGAGATTACGAAACGCTTTGGCTAAGTATAGTTTCATCTTCTCTCTTTTTTCATTCATATATATATATATATATATATATATATATATATATATATATATATATATGTGGGGAAATATATAGAAAATAGGAAGGAACTGGTTAGGTAAATAATCCAAAAGTCCTTAGTATTTTAGTTATTATTTTTAAAAATAGTGCACGATAAAAAGTAGAGCATAAATATAATTATTTATTTAAAAATATGATTCCAAAACGCTACATAAGAAGTCTCATGTTTCAAAACAAGAGCCGAAAACTTCAATATAATTTTTTTTGGAATAACGTCCTTTCATAAAAAATAAATAAATAAATAAATAAATAAATAAATAAATCTCCATAGACATGCAAACTAGACGAGGGTTAATACATCTTCCGTTTAAAATTTAGACACCCCTAAATTTCCCTGACTTGACATCTATGAAAGTAACTCTATACTGATAATTATTATTAACACCCAACACTTGCCTACCCAATTTAAACAATTCGCCCTAACTGTTACCATGGAAATCTTGATTTCAATTTTTAAAACACGTAAATTTCAGATATACGTTATTCCAAAAAAAAATTTCGCTTGAAAATGGAACAGGGCTTATTTTAACTCAATTTAATTTAAAGAATTATATTGAAGTTTTCGGCTCTTGTTTTGAAACATGAGACTTCCTATGTAGCGTTTTGGAAT